TGCCCGAGGCTTCCCCTGTTGGCTACAGAGGGGCCCCAGCAGCTTGTCTAAACTAGGTATCCAGCTTTTCAAATGGCTACGGTGCGATGAGTCCCATTTTCCAGGACGAGCTCTATGTTGTTCCCAGGACCAAGGGGGTTGCTAGGGTTGCTAAATGTTTTTGCGCACTCTGTTTGGGGAATGTGAGATGAGGACTGTCGTTGGTGTCAGTATTAAGCATAACGGCTACACCGATTCTGCTAACGTTTCAAAGGTAGGGGGAAATCAGACTGTATTGGTCCCTTGTTTTTGCCAGTCAAGAGTGACCGTTGAAATCAGTGGAGTTAGATTCTGCACCTTTGATTTTATATTGCTTTACCATGCCTTTTAGTTTCTGGTGGTTGAAGGGAGGAATAAGAATGACCCTTACTAGCGAAATAAAAGGAATGCTTTCAGATTAGTGAACTCGAAAGGTTATTGCCGAGTTGTTATTCTTCATAGTTTTGCTGCAGCACGGAATTTTTATTATTCTTTCCAGTTCAGTCAAAATACCTGTGGAGTTTGTGGGGAAGGTTGGTGAACTTGTAAAATAAATCTTTTACCTACACAGAGTTAGAAAAATTGCAGTCTGCAGTGGGAGAGCAAATGTCATTCATTTCCTTTTGGGGGAATGTTTTTGTCTGTATTATCAATTTGCAATGCTGTCAGATAACTGTCAGAGTTGACATGGGCACAAAGGCCGTCTTCCCTCTCTCTGACTGTGTAAAAGTAAGGATTTTATTTTAGTGTAAGCAGGATAATTTGTTAAGTAGGTATTAGATAAGTAGGGTATATTCAATGAAGGAAGAGGCGTTTCTAGAGGGCAGATCACCCTGCCAAAGTCAATATCGAAGGGAGCTTCGCTGCTTGGGTAAAATTAAGTAAAACAAACCCAGAGACATGTTAGGTAGTAGGCTCTGGCTGTCTTGTGCTGCAAAGCGGCCATAAGTTTGTTTAAAGTAAGTGAATGCACTGTGTTTAACATTCTTAGAGCAATATAAAGAAGCCAAAGCCTATTTTTCACATGTTCTGCCTTAATCCTCATAGCGCTGCCTACGCCTCTGAATTTGGCACTGAAAGATATTTTTCCCCCCAAAATTATAAAATGAGTTGTATATATTTTCAGGTGAAAAAACAGTTAATGATGCCTTTTAAACAGTATTGCTGCCAATTTCAGTTCTAAGTGCTTTGAATATTTAAATGCAGGTTCTGAAATCATCCATCTGTATTTAGCTGTATTTACCTTCACCTAGCGCTACAAATACCTGCTTTGGGGTAGCTCTAGCTCCAGCTTAGTTGTATGATAATCCGACCTGCCCCCGTCCTATTAAAGACATTGGGATTTAAGGTAGGGGTTCTGCAAACACCTGCCTGAGGGAAGGGCCGCACTTTATTTATGGCTGCCTGGTGTGAAGTCTTGCAAACTCTTTGTGGGCCACTTGGTGAGGACCTGGCTCTGCCAGCTCAAGCGTGTGTTATTGCACCCCCTGATGGGGTGGCTTCTGGGTCACGTCTTTCCCATGTTCTCAGCTTTATATCTATATTGCTCTTTTGAATTGCTGCTTGCTGGGTGTTTGCTCCTTGGCTTGAGTCTTAGCACATGCCAAAAAAAGGGGGGAAAAAAATGACCCTAGGAGCAGTTTTGGCTCAGGAAAGGAGGCTTTGCAATAGAAAGAAAAAAAAAAAAAAAAAAAAAAAAGTAATCCAGTGCCTTAACTTCATAAGAGCAAGACTGCTGTTTTGCTCTTGGTCCGGTGTGTTCGAAGGAGCAGTGCAGCTGTGCTTAGCTTGTTGTCTAGGTACGCCCGTCAGCCCAGCGGTTTCCAGCCTGAATGTTTCTAGCTTATTCTTTTCTTTTGCAAGCATAAGTGAAACACTGAGATGACCTCACTTCTGCTCATACTGTGTATTTCATAATGCTTTTATTATTCCTTTTAAATCTGGATCACTTCAAGGCCTGCAGGGATTTTATCCAAGAGATAAGAGTGAAGAGGTATCTGCTACTTGGTGCTGTGAGAGCACCTGGCAGGTCAGGCGTATGCCATGGAAAGGGTAAATGTTCCCCTGCCCTGCATGTGTAGACAGAGTTAGGTGCGTGCTCAGCCGTGAAGACTGAGGTGTGCAGAGACATTGAAAGCGGAGGATTAGCGTCAAGGTGTCCTGGCGCTCGCCCCCGGGCACTGTTTGGCCTTGCAGCATCTCTGGGATAAGGAGGGTTCCTGAGGAGTGACACCAAGGCACCAAGTCTGCTCTTGGACCTGTGCTTTAACTTACAACATCCTGTTTCCCTGTCTTTAAAAAAAGAGTTTAAAAAACCCCAAAACCCTAGGAACAGTTTTGGCTCAGGAAAGGAGGCTTTGCAATAGAAAGAAAAAAAAAATTGTCATCCGATGCCTTAACTTCCTCTAACACATCCCTTTTGGGGGGTGTGTGTGTACAGGGAGTGAACAGGTTAGTACTTCTGAGGCCCTCCGTTCTGCAAAAATGGAGGCCACGAGGGTATACAAACAAGTTCTGCTGTAGACTTAATATCTGCTTGAATTTTTGCATAGCGTCTTGCATAATGAAAGCGTGCCTAGGGCTGGGGCCCTTCAGCAGCACAGTAACCTGTTAACGCACTTTGCAGCAATTGTTGGGCTGTGAAACAACCTTTACAAGTAGTTTTAATGAATTGTTGCAAATTAGATGCAAACCGGGCATTGTTTTCTAACTCCTCTTACATCAACTTGATTATTTTTGCCCTTGCTAGATGGCGGAGCTGACCTAAGTGCGTTGCAGTGCCACTGCCGTAGCTACGCTTCGTTTGACCACAAAGCTGTGAAGGTACAGCTTAATTAAAGCTTTGCAGGGATAGGTGGTTACTCACCCTTTCACATAAAATTCAACCACAGGAGTTATTTGAGCAGCACCCTAATAGCTACATAAAGCTGGTAAAAGAAAGAGGAAGCAAACTGCATGTAATTGAATGCTATAGAAACATGCATCAGCCTTCATACAGCTGCCATATGTTCCTTCCCTGGTTGCTCACTTCTTACAGGGCCCCCCCACCGACTTTGCTAGGGTAATTTTGGCATAATGCCTCCTTTTTGCTGGGTGTTTTCCTCACTGAGGCATTTGTGAGTCAGATAATGTAAAAGACGCACAGGCTTCCTCCTGGGATTTTCTTTTTTTTAAACCCAGGAGTTGAAATCCTTCAGTTTTGAAGCCTGAGCCCAGATGAAAGCTGAGTTTCTTGGAGGAGGGAGCCCACGTCCCAAAAATGAGGGAGAATTCATAAAGCGCTGTGCTTCATGGCATTAAATCAGTCTCAGTTTCTAACTTTGGTTTCTACCTGTTTTCCCTCCCAGTATCATTTATGAGGTGACAGGGATGTGGCTGTTTGGGAAGCTGTTCTGCAAGGTGTGGATCTCCTTTGACGTCATGTTCTGCACTGCGTCCATCGTTACTTTGTGCTTTATTAGCTTGGACAGATACTGCTCCGTGGTGACCCCTTACCACTATTCAAGAAGGATGTCTCGTGGCAGGTGAGTGTATTTGCTCCTCAAGAAGTTGGAGGGCAGCCACTCATGTTTCTCACTGAAAAGCCCTAAGGTTCCTGTTCCTATTCTGCTGGAGATTTTCTGTGCGAGAAAGACAGTTCTCCATTTCACGGAGTTACTGAGGACAAACACTGGCGTTACATGTCCACATGGTTATTTTATCTGCAAATTTTCACTCTGTCCCTGTTCAGTGCAGGCCATTGCAGTTCTAAATGAGCTATTCACTGCTCAAAACCAGAATAATTTGATAAAAAGATCTTAGCGCCATTTAAAACTTTGCAGCTGGCCTGATTTGATAGTGCTTCTGGGGAAGCACTATCTTTTGAGCTACGGATGATTTCCTGGATGGGGTAAAAACAAGTGATGTGGGCTGACTTGGGCCTACAATGTCTGCCTTGGTAGATATTTCAAGGGGTGTTTCCTCCAAGGAGAAGGATAAATGACACCCAGAAGAATTCCTCTAGCAGTAGTCTTTCCTCTCTTACAAAGCGATCTTAATGGGGGGAAAGGGGAGAAAACAGGATGAGTTTTTAAGCTCCTGCCAAGGTTTCACATGTAACATTCAAACGAGGGCTGCTGGGTGCATGGTTCTCCAGACTGGTTTCTTGCCAGATTTCCTGTATCATCCCTTTACAGTCCATTTGTTGTTGGCCTTTCTCACTGGAACAGGGTCCCAGCTGCCAGTATGGCTTGGTGGATCCCCTTTTAAACTGTAGGTATTTAAATGCAGAAGGGCATCCTAGAGCGAAGGATGTCATCTGTGCGTTTGGGTGTCTTTGAGTGCGTTTCTGCTGCTAGGACTGCTGAATGTTACAGCACCCACAAACTTCCTTTGAACAAGTGCAGTTGTCGAAGGGTGGGCATAGAGGACGCCGCAGGTCCAGCGGCTTTGCTGTCATAGCTACACTGCCGCCAGTAACTCACAAGGTGGGTTCCAGCTCTTTTGGGAATGTCTTTTTCCCAGCTGCAGCTCCTGCAGTGTACAATTTGCAGAGCGCGCACAGTTGCCAAAATGGGAAGGAGGGCTGTGCAGCACACATGGTGCAGAGCAAATGCTGTAGTGATGCTGAGCATCTGCAGCATCCGTCAGCTCCACCCCTCTTGCGGGCAGGACCCTTAGAAGATGACCTAGTGACGTAGAGTAGCAAGTCATTAGGGATGTTCACGTATGGCCTTGCTGTATCCCAGCTTTCTCTCTGCTCTGCCACTTCTCAAAACCCTCTGGGACTGTTGTTCAGTGATATCCCACAGGGGTTACCATGGGGATTGAATCGTACTGGATGTTCTCATCTCAAAATAACTCAGACCCTCTCTGCCCTCCCTACCTCTTTTCTTTTGCAGATGCATTGTAATGACCTGCATGGTTTGGGTATACTCCTCCCTCATTTCCTTCCTTCCCGTCATGCAAGGCTGGAACGAGATCCCTGGGGTCGATTTCGATGCAGGCAGAGAATGCATCTTTGTCACCAACTGGATTTTCGCCATTGTAGCTTCTGCCCTTGCATTTTTTGTCCCTTTCATGGTCATGTGCAGCATGTATTTCTTCATTTACCGAGCTTCACGGCTCAAGGCCACACGGATCATGTCTCAGACTCTGGAGATTCACTATCACCCCAACAGCAAGCGGCAGAACCACCTGCAGCTGGAGAACAAAGCCACGCGGACCATTAGCATTATCATTTCTGTCTTTGTGCTGTGCTGGCTGCCGTACTTTGTCCTGAATGTTTGGCTGGCTGCCAGAGGTGCCGATGCCACTAGCACGGTCTTGGTTGACACCTTCAAGATCATCACTTGGTTAGGTTATTGCAACTCCACTATCAACCCAATGCTCTATGCTTTCCTGAACCGGGACTTCCAGCGGGCCCTGAAGAAGCTGCTCATTTGCAGGCACAGGTCTCAAGTGGACATTGGAGAAGACATGGTTTCAATAGCCACGTTTTCCAAGACTGCTCCAGACTTAGAATATAACATGATGATGCCGGTGCCTAACGGTGCTCTGAAGGGCAAACCCAAGCAATAGGGATTCAGGATCAGTTGCTAGAGGTTGTGGTGTAAACAGTGCAAGAGCACATCCGAATGGAAGAGTAATGGGTAAGAAAGTAGCGGAAGGAGAGGTTGGAACGGGGAGCTGTTCGTTACAGCTGGGGGCATACAACAAGATATTTCTTCATCTTCCGTGGTGTTTTGAATGAGGAACTCTGCTGTTTTGGGTGCAATTTGTTTTAACTACTGAAGATAGTTTCTTTCTTGCTATTAAGTTTTTTAATGAATATTTCTTAAGATGAATTCAAACTTCATGCTGGAAAAAAAATCAGTTTGATAATGTGAACTTGTCTTACTCTGCTTATAGCCTGGTGATCTCCCAGAACTGAAGATGGGACATTATTCTTTCAGATTAGGTCACTGTAGTTCTCATCTCGCAGCCTACATCACAAGTTCGGCAAATTGTAATAGGTTCACTTGTGTCAGTCTGTGAACAGGGGTTGGAAGGATGTGGTCAAAGAGTAGAGTTAACTCCTGCAGAAAGCCCGTGTGTGCTGAGAGCTTGTGCAGTCTGCGCAGGGTTCAGCTAACATGCTCGCTTCTGAAATACAGAGGGGCTTAGTGTTTTCAAGCTTCAGACTTGGTGTTTGATGGTATAAGATTGGTTCAGCATCAGGAAGGAAAGGGTAGGAGAAATACTCTACACGGTTTTTCTTTGGATGCCTTTGTAAAATCTAAGACCATTGCTTCAGTGTTTTCTGTGAATTATCTATGACAAGTCTCCTTAGTCCCTATTTATTCTGGAAAGGGACCTTATGTCTTAGACCCCACTGGAGATGAGCAAGGCTTGCTGAAACATTTCTCTAGAGCACCAACTACCCAAGGAGCTCAAAAGAGGTTACAGGTGACTGACACCAGCCAAATAGCAGATGTGACAAGGTGTTACTGCTTAAGTGTAAGTATTTTTTGTGCTGTGGTGTCTGTACATTGATGCTGTGAGTGTAACCATATAGAGTATTGCTGGACCACACAGCCATTAAAAAAAGGATGATAAATATCCTTGCTTCTTACTACTAAAATCCCAGCAACGATTTATGGACTTCAAGCAGAAAGTATAGAAGGGCAGGTCATGAATGTACATATCTGGTCAGCCTGTTTCAAACAGGTACGTGCTTGTTCTTATCATTCCTGAGTGCTTCACTGGACTTCAAACAGCGACTCCACAGGACTGGTTCCCTGGAGGATGACGCTGGAAAGGCAGGACTGCACCTGAACATCTCTGCAAGTATCTAACACCGGGCAAAAGCAGGAACTGAACTGCCAGAAGCACCTCAGAAAACTTGAGGACCACAGATTTTCTGTTGCAGTCACAGGAGGGCTGGTGAGCGCTCAGATCACAGCCATCGCTGCCCCCTCTGCACGTTTCAGGTACAGGCTCATGCTGGTTAACATGTTAGAGTCACTGCACCGAGATCCTGTTCTTACATCGCTCTTCTGCGGACATGAAACACTTCAAAGATGGTTTCTAGAATGGCTTTTTTCTGGTCAGTATATTCTGAGTGTTTACTTGCCCCATGTTGGACAGGCAAGGCTGCTGCAGCCCAGGAAGCCAAGCACAGCCGAGCGATACCCTGGCCAATATGTAATGCTGAAACCCCGGAGTGAGGCACTTGGCGGGGTGAAGAATGTCACTTTATTAAGAAGAAGAGAGGGGCAAGTTAGTCAAAGGCCTGAGTCCTTCCACTTCTAGCACAATGGTAGCATGGAGGAGGACAGACCTAAAAAAGGTGTAGCAGACTGCACGAAGCCGCTGTCTGAAGTTCCTCAGCTACTGAAGGCACAGGCACAAAGAGGCAGAAGTCCTTGCTCCTTAAGAACCTAGTTCGGCAGGAGAGGAAACAGCTCTGATGCACAGTTGCAACGCTTGGTGCTCCTGGCAAATGCATCGTCATGGAGTGTATCGGCACTCCTAGCTCCTTCAGCTCCAGTAAATACCTGGAAGGGGTAAGGAGGATAACCATGTGATGCTTTCCTGGTTCCGGGAGGGCATCAGTGGGAGACCAAATGGGCCTGAAAGCAGACTAGGCAGTATCCTTGCTCCTGACAGCCCACTCGTTTTGATAAACGAGACAAGGATTGGGTTCTAGTCCCAAGAGCTATCCAAGCTGTCGGGGAGGGAGCAGAGGTAGAGGCACCATATTCTGCATTGCAACGGTTCAGGACTCAAGTGCTTCTACCCTGTGTAGAAGAGCCTGAGCCCAGAACGCCCTTTTGCAGCTGGCAGCTGTAGTAGCCTGCGTTCAGGTGTCCCTCAGCAGAAAAGGAGTTGGCAGAAAGGCGCACACTGATTTCCATGGCCACAGGAAGACAAGAGACCTGAGGCAGCCTGACAGTTGTTTTCTAAATTTCGCACAGCTGCTCCTAAATTGAAAGGAGGCAAATTAACTGGTGAGTGAAACATCAGCTGTTCCTGCCAACAGGGCTGTAGACTGGCCTAAGTAAAAAGTGGGAGCTCAAGTACAGAGGTAGCACAGACCATTGCAGCTATTGTCTGTACATAGTTATCCTGAGACAAGCTTGCCCTTCCCTGCTTTCCATTCCAGCGTGGTCACAGAGAGGACACATACTAGACAAAGGCCTTGGGGGGGGGGGGGGTGGTCTTCAATCATCTGAGCTGACCGTAGCTGGGAAGAAGAGCTCCTGCAGAGGGGTAGGGGAGGGAACGGGAGAGTACACAGTATAGTTATAAACTGACTCAAAACAGGGAAAAGCATGTAAAACAGTCCCAGAGCTGAGGGTCGGGGGGGTGATGGCTTTGGGTTTTTAAGCCAGGTGGGTGTTTCATGTCACAGAGAAGTGTCCTTTTCCCTGCTGGTGGGCAGAGCGAGTGGAGCTGCCAGAGGCAGGGAGGTGACTGCACGAAGGCAACACATCCAAGCGCAGAGAGACAACTGCTCTAGTGAGGGAAAGGACGACTATCTTGGCCAAAGCCTGGAGAAAAAAGGAGCGAAGACAAGAATGACGCTACAGAATCCAGTGCTAAGAGGAGCAAAGATTCATCAGTTTGAGTAGTGAAGAGCTGAGAGCAGCCAGGTGCTTTTGTGGCTGGGAACCCACCACAGAGGATGGACTCTCTGCACAGGCCTTTGAGGATAAATGTAACCTCCCAAAGAACGCAGACAGCCCTAGTGTGAAGTTACTTTTTTTTTTTTTTTGGGGGGGGGGGCACTGAAATGCTGCAGGGCCCTTGGCATAAGCAACAGCACAGCTTTACTCTGAGTTATGGGTATCTCGTTCTTCCCTTCTTGCCATCCATCTGTAATCACTGAACTGGGGGGAGGGGGAAGCTAGAGGCACCCATCAAAGGGGCCAGTTGCATGTGCATCTATAGCTGATGTTATAAATTGGGAAATCCAAGGGAAGAGGGCACAATTAACTGTTCTGTCTTGACCCAACTCAACCTGGTAAATGTCTGGTTTTGACTGAATATTAACTAACTACAGCATTCTGGCTTCAGCAGGGTCAGTATCTAGGACACAATCAGAAAAGAACACAGGAAAGAAAAATCTCGTAACCCACTTCTGCCTTATCATAAGGCTGCAAGAGTGCCAGCTGGTTGAATTGCTAGTTGTAGTGTCATAGCACAGTGCAGTGATCACCTGAAGGACCTGACTCTGGCTTCATTTTAAGGAACTCATTTCAAAGATTACAGCTTCAAAAATTTAAGATTGCAAGTAAGTTACTGTAAAACAGAAAAATGCATTTATGCAAAAGTAGTTCTAACAGTGTAAAAATTATCCCCTCTTCTTCCCCCTCTGTTAACACTTGAGAGATTATGTCCAGGCTTCCATAATCCACACCCCAGCTTTTGAGAGCTCAGTTCCTCCCCACCGCCTTCTTCAGATAACATCTTGCTTTTGAAGTGCGATATGTATGTTCATCTTTACATATCCCGTACACTGTGGCAAGCCTGAGACGGGAAAGCAAAGCAAGTTAAGAGAAATGGTCTTTCTGGCCTGTTCTGACGGCACAAGGCTGCCATCTGCAGCATGCAGCGATGCAGGTTTTGAACAGAAGCAACTACTATATATTTTTTTTTAATAAAAAAAGTTTATTAAATCATTTAGACTTGAAAGAAGTCACAGTAATTAATGCACCCAACAATTATAGCAAGTGCATTCTGTACACCACCAACCCAAATGGATTGATTCTGTATTTTATAAATAAAAATTAACATATTTACAATGAGAAATAAAAGCATGGTATTAGGCAGTTAAATTAGCAGAGTACAACAAACGCCTACCGGTTGATTTTTTTAAAAAGTACAAATCTACAAGATTACATAGGACACATATGACTTCATTAGGTTTAAACTGTCATAATCACAACATTTTCATACATATTTTTTACTATGGCTCTTCCAACCATTGTCTATAAACCCTTTTTCATGGCAAAAAGTTCCTTTTCCTTTTCTAAAGGTTTATCAGTATAAAATGCATTCCCTTAAGATCTACTATAGTGCGGAAATAGGAAACAATTTCCTCTAATGACTGACTACGGAGAGTGACTGTATGTACAGCTGTGGTACTTTTTTGCTTCAAAAATAGTGCAGATTTCCAGTTTACCCACCAGGGACAAAAATGGAGTCATAGTTTGTTTCAAAATCATCTTCATTTCACCAAAGAGCAAGCGATCTGGATATATACTCACTAGGCTTAGAGACTGTAATTTGCACTATAAAAATACAGTATTTTAATTCTATTTACATGTTACAGATCTCTCACTCACCCAGCAAGCTGACATTTACAAGCTTCAAAAAAAACCCAACAAACCCAAACAAAAGATAATGGAGCACAAAACTAGTAAGCACAGTAGCTAGACCCATCCACCTAGGAGAGTTAAGGTAAGAAAAATGGAATGTGAAAAGTGTAGTTACTGCCTTTTGTTGGCTGTCGAAGTAAACCCAAATCTGTCCAACACGTCCTGTACGTTGAACATGGTAAAAAAAAGTTTAGGTAAACTATTTCTGAGATAGACATTCTGCAACATAGGATCCTTCTGCTGAACAATCCCTTTAAAATCTGTCGAATGGAAGAAGTGATCCTGAGGATAATTATTTGCTTGGTTGTCTTGAATGCTTATTTCCTGATAAACTCATTGTCCGTGACCTCTGTCTAAGCACTGGTTTTGCTGGGAGTTCCAAGTCTTCAAATACAGGATTTTCTATTATTACTGCAGCCTCCGGTCTTTCCGTGGGACTTGGAGAAAGCATGTCCTTTACCATGGTGTACTAAAAGAGAAGATGAGACGTGCTACATGAACCAGCTCATAAATTCCTTCTTCTTTGATGTTCTGACTTCAACCGTTGCTGTATGAGCAATTGGAGAACGTCCCCAAGTGCTTTCTTACATTTGAAAACATATCATTGTGCAGCCACTAAACTATCTTTATTATCAAGGACTACACTCAATTTGGCAGATCAAATCTGACCCAAAGCTCAAGAGAGTTACAAAATTTTTATATTATTTGCGATAAGAATTTAAAAATCTTATATGAAATTTAACTTTTGGGTAATTTTTAGCATCAGGTTTAAGCCACCACATGCACTAGTTTTGCAGGGTGAGTTAGGAATTTTCCTTGAAATATACACGTAGTTTGAAGCTTTGTCTCAAATTTCATCATCAAAAGCACTTTTCAAAACACCTCTCGGAGTGAGAAACTGTGTCTGCTCTGGGAGAGCACAGCACAGCACAGCACAGCACATTCCCCCAGTCAGCCTGTAGCTGTAAAACAAGAAAGGCTGGTCTCATCGAACTCCTGGGTTGAAACCACTAGGAAAACCTGGAAGCATCTCAGCTTTTCCTTGGAGAAGTTTTGTACATCATGTCCTCTTTATCTGAAATTGTATCACTTTAAAGATCTGACTACTAAGAATAGCATTCCACTTGCAAGATCCAGTTCCCAGAGCTAGACCTCATAGAGCCATGATGCTGCGTACAGTCTCCACTTGGCCTGTCTGGAACTCTCTGCACTTTGTGAATACGGACTTATTGCAAGAAATCATTTCACGATTTAGGTGAAATGAATGGTATCAAGTGACAAAGGGAAGTCAGAAAATATTGTATAGTTATTGCAGTTAATCTGTGCGACAAAAATATCAGCATGCACACAATCACAGAATGGTTGAGGTTGGAAGGGACCTCTGCAGATCATCTAGTCCAACCTCACATTATAATATTGTAATTGTGAAGACAGTAAAATATTTGGACAAAGAAATCCATCTTAAAAACATGAAAGCTAAAACTTTTGAACTTTTACTTGCAAAACAACTGGAAAGCAAATCAGAAAAAAAGCCAGAATTATTAGCATCAGACATGCTTACCTCTTGCGCATATTTCTGAGTGAACAATGATGGAAACTTCAGACTTCTGACATCACTCAAGGTCTGTAAAAATGTTGAGAAAAACGCTTAGCACTTCCAAAATACCATTCTCTAACAGTATGATTTTATTATTGTGCAAAAATATGCAAACAAATCTGCCTGATGAAGGAAAGGCTTGTTTTTAATTGTTGCTTTAGTGGTTCAAAATCACAACGTACTTGAATGTACAGATTGCTGCTCTGCTTCCCTACGTATACAGTCTGCACTAGAAATCATGTTACAGGAGTTCTGATCTGTGCAATTTTAAACCATCCAGATACACAAACTTGTCCTTTTCTATTTTGACTCAGTAAGGTCAACAGAACTGCGCCACCACCTGTAACTCCCCAAGATCTTCTATACCTGTATTACCTGTCACACAAAATGACTGTCTCTGTCTTAACAGCGTAAGCACTAAACTTTATTTGATTTTTATGCACAGATGAGCAGATCTATCAGCAGTTTTGAAAGCAGTCCAAACGGCCTTTTTGGGCGTGCACAGCATGTAACTGCTCTCCATTCGTCCCTGTTCATCTCATAACAAGCACGTTGGCTCCATCTAGTGACAGTATTTCCCATGTTCAGCTACACAATTGGCAGCAGGCTACCTTATGAATTTAAATTCTGTAATTTCCAGCAACCCAGGACCCAGTATGGCATGCTTTTGGCAGCGAAGGACAACATTTAGCACTTTGCTTCCTTTAAGAAGCATCCCCTTTTGCAAAAAAAAAGAGCATAAAATATAAGAATCCTGAAGTTAAAACAAAGTCGATCCCATATTACTCCACTGAAAGCGTAAACTGATCAGTTACCCCGGTGGCTAACAGTCACGCTTCTGAGCAAGATGAAATTGAGCTTTGTGTCAAACTGCTTCCAAAAACCTGTTCTCCTTTTTTTACCAATTCAGTCTGCGTTCTGATCTGTTTTCAGACATCTAATTTGAAAATCATTTGCACTGCCACAGACTAGCCGCTAACAGCCTGAGACACAAGCGGGCCTCTATGCACTTCTCCTCTGGGAATTTTCTGCTCCTTGTCACAGACTCCTAGGATTTGCTGGGCTGCTTGGTCAGGTAGAATATTCTTCTTCCTTATGAAAGGAAAATTCTTGGGAATTTGAGCTAAACACAACTTAGGATCCATTCTCCCGATTACTTGCTTTGCTTCTATATTCAGGACAGAAATTGGAAGGGGAAAGCTCTTCTAGTCAC